CCGGGCCCAAGCTGAAAAAACCGATTTTTTCTTTCAGGTAACCTTTTGACGGATGAGTTCATCAAGGGGAGTCAAAACACGCGACCATCTTCGCTTGTAGCAACAATTTCTTGTGCCCATTTAAACCAGCTTACTACTTACTGATTAATCAAGCTCAAGCTGAAATGGAGCAACTAAGCATTTAAATTTAAAAGGCTCTGTTTAATTTTAATGCAAAACTGCTGACACTTGTATAAGTACTTTCACGATTTTCTGAGACAAATTTTCGTTTCTCACCACCTTCGGGTTGAATCGAATCATGGTTGTTTCCTCGAGTGAAGTACTGAGGGCTTGAGCAACCACAAATGAGCTTTGCCGTGGAAGGCTCGCTTGTGTTCTGGACATTGCTACACAACTCCGTGCAGTCTTTCTGGTGTCCATTCCAATTTTTTTGGAAAACGAAAATGAGTTGCCAACTACAGACGGAAAACAAAATCGCAAAAGCAAGGGAATGTAAAACAAAAAAAAAAAAAAATCGGATATTATAAAAATACTCTTTGTTGGGTTTTTTTTGTTAAAATTTTACAAGATAATGTTCTTCTTCTCCTGTATTCCGAGCACTTGGTGTTCATTGCTGAAGATATCACCAGGCTCTATTATTTAAGACCGCTGGTCTATTGCAGTCGCCACAAGGTATGCAGGCTAGGATATATGTTTTGCCCTTGGACGAAAATCTCCATCTCATCAGCGAGGATCAAGCCCCGCCTATCAACATTAGAGCCAGGGAGCTAAACACTCGACCAGCTGCTCCGCTCAGTAAATGTTAATGGTAATTATATTAGTACTCACCCAGTAGAGAAACATTGTCCGAATTTGGGGGTATGCTGTTGTCAATAAAAGTCAAAAACACAGTGAAGGACAGCAAAATTGTGACTGAAATGTTGACCTTCTCTTGTTCGTCGGGTGGCATGATGAATGACATTATACTCAAGATAGCCAGCAAATTGACTGGTATCAGCAAACTGGCGGACAGAGAAAGGTCATCTTTAGAAGTGAAGAGACCCACTGTAATGCTTAATTCAGTTTGCATTTAACAAACCAAAGTTTTCAAATTTCTGAAAAAAGGCAATCCACTCTTCCTGAAATGTGTTCAGTGTCATACTGTTACTAAAGCCGTCGCAACAGAGGACACACATTTTCTTTACTCTAAAGCCACACTCCAGCTGTTGTAGGGGTTCTAACAGTTCAATTGGGTTTCTGGGACGTACACGGCTGATTCTCATCCGAATGGTAGCATTTTGTGTCACTGAGTGTTTATCGCTCTTTGTGTGGTCCTTGTGGGGTTGAACATTCATTCGGATGGGGCATATAGTGCTAACCTTGTATTTTATTTACCAACAGTCGGCACTCAGAGGGTAATGTGGTCATCATCATTCCAATCACCTTTACTTCCCATGACTTTAGCTGGTACAATAAGAATAAACTCCACAGTGGAGCATGTACAGCAGGAGTCTACCAATCATCAGTAGAAGTAACCTCTCGTCGACAAATGTTTCGGTGACTTCGCAAAAGGTATTGTGAGATAGGAAGTCGTTGCGGTAGCATAATTAAAGCAGTCTGCATACCTGGACGACCGAATGGCAAGCCTACGATTGGTTTACCGGACACATGTTGGACCAATTGTTGGCAGGTGGCAGAGGGACACTGGCAGACAATTCGGACACGATGGACTTTAAGGGATAAGACATTATTTTCCACTACACATTTAAGGCTGGTTTGATTTGGGAATAAAGATAACTTTCAGGAAAAAAAAACTAGCTCTGTTAAGACCTGAACCAAAGACCTACAGATCAGTAATCGAGCGTCTAGCCGCTACAGCACGGTGGCTATCCAATAACAAACTAACCAGCCAGGGTAAGATGAATAATAATATCCTCAAAACAGCCTCAAAATACTCAGATTGACTGGTATTAGCAAACTGGTGTAGATGTCATCTTCAGATGGCATTCTCAGATGTCATCTTCAGAAGTGAAGTGGTTTACTTGAATGTATCACTCAGTTTGCATTTAAAAAAAACAGTTTTTGAAGTTCTTAGTAAAGGCATTCGACTTTCTTTTAAAATTTTTATTTTCACCCAGGCTCACGTGCCTTAAAATTCAATAACTGGATTCTTTTGCGATATCGGTATAGAGTATATGCTCCGCATTCCATTGCACTTCGGACTGAATGGGAGTTTTTAGCCTAAAACACTTTGAGTCATACTCAGGGGGAGTTCGGTGCACTTATGGTCATGTTTGATGTGAGATTAAGATGATCTTGAAAATAAACAGAGAAGAGCAATGAACAATGCGCAGTTAGTACATGACCTTTTCCCACGCCGTTAGTCGCATCAGGCACATAGTCATGGACCTATATTTCATACACAAATGAGCACTCCTATGAGTGATATGGTCAACATCACGCTATTACTTTCAGGAACTTTGATTCATACTCATTTAAGACTGGGTCGACCTGCGAGTCAAGGTCATTTTTGAAAAAATCCGGTTTGATACGGATTTAAACCCTAAACCTTCAGGACCGAGATGAGCGTTCACACATTCAGTAATGTATAAATACCTAGAAATACCCAAATCTGATTAGATCATTCATCCTGAATTTAACAGAATAAAGAGACAATGCAAAATATGAATAACATTACTGACTTTCGCTGTACACTTCGTTTCCATCTCTTTAACGTTAAAATGCATTGGTTGGTTGGAAGTTGTACCCCACCAGGACATCACACAAGCGTTAAACACTCGGTGACATAAAGTGCCACCATGCGGAGTAGGATCACTCGTGGAGAGGTCCCAGTAACCCATTTCAGCCGTTAGGCCATATTTATGGCTAAGCCAAATTTATGACCTGGCTATATTCAGGGCCCCTGACAGACGCCAGGATGGGGCTTACAAAAATAAAAATAAAAACTGCATCCAACATGGGGACGACTTAAATAATAGTAAGACAAGGTTGTGTATTATCACCTTTACTGTTCATAATATTTATGGACAATATTAATAAAATAGACATAACACCAACAGATGTCGCTAAACAGGAGGACTTCAATGAGCTGCTCTTTGCCGACGATCAATGCATATTTCACAGTGATAGTAAACAGCTGCAAGACCACATAAACCTACTACACGACAGTTGCCTCAAGCATCATATGAAGATCAATACTGAAAAGACAGAAGTCATGATCATAAGTAGAGAGCAACAGACCATCGACATAAAAATTCTAGATCACAGCCTAAAACGCAAGAATTTAAATACTTGGGAAGTATCTTTACATTCAATGGTAAAATAGACAGAGAGATCGAAGCAAGAATCCAACAAGCCAACAATGTCGCATACCAGCTTGCCCCAATTTTAAAACACCCTGCTGTCCCAGCTGAGATAAAAAGACAAATTATAAATACAATCTTTATAACCATTAGACATTAGGTTATCAATGTCACACAATAGTTAGATTTTTCTGTCACAAACACCGCACCGTGTCTGACTTACTTGACTGTATTATTCACATGTACGAGGCAACATGTCGGCTCTGTGGCTAAGTTGATGCGACCGCTTCGTTTTGCCGGGACGCCGGGTTTGATCCCAGCTGCGGGTCATGCGCCTTGCGATGGTTTCGACAGTGGTATCAAGAAAGCCGACCGTCCATATGGCAATGGCAAACTACTGGTCTTAAATTTGCCTAGAAAAACCACACAGCAGCCGGGGGCTGTTGAGGTTGGTTCTGCAACGTCCTGTAAAGGATACGCAACTAACCTTTAACGAGGCAACATATTGTTTACGTTTATGCATCGTGTGCTTGGTGCGGGACTCTAAAGAACTCTGAAAACATATTTGTTTCCTGCAAGGGTGAGCTGGTCCGGGTGTCTAGTGGAAAAGGGTTTCTCACCCCTTGAAAGTCCATCGCGTCCGAATTGTCTGCCAGTGATCCTCTGCCACCTGCTAATAAAAGTCCAACATGTGTCCGGTAAACCAATCGTAAGCTTGTCGCTCGGTCGTCCAGGTATGCTGACTGCTTTAATTAGGCTGCCGCGACGACTTCTTATCTCACAGTACCTTCTGCAAACCACCAAGTCGCCTTGTCCCTATCCGAAAGAAAAACATCATACGGTAATTTCGTGCAGCAGGGTACCAGCCCTGAGCTTTATGAACTCAGGTGGGCCCACCTCCTAAAGTGTCTAGGAATCGTGGGCCGAAACACTTGTCGACGAGGATAATTTCTACTGACGACTGGTAGATCCCTGCTGTACTTGCTCCCTGTGAGTTTATTCTCATTAGGCCCCTCTGCAAGTAGTATACTTGTGGTTTTAATACTGCCATTTTTAACTTCCTTAGACATTAGCAAGGAATTTATGGGAGTGACAAAGCTGACATTCATTCTTCGATATTAAGATAATGAGTGAGTGATGCATCAATACATTTATTTAAAAAAAAAAAAAAAAAAAAAAAAAAAAAAAAAAAAAAAAAAAAAAAAACTTTTAATCTATTGCGAGCGGTATCGGATATAATTCTGGTCTGGTTTCTTTGTGCCAACTATTTTGGCTAAGACATGTTAATTGTACCAAAAGTAGTAGCTTTGACATGTATCTCGTGAGGGCTGTTGGGGAGTGGGCTTCACGAAGACACTGAAGATCACTTGGCTTTAAAAGCACACAGGGCTGGAAAACTAGTTAGTGAAAGAGAAACGTTCTGGCTAGCCGTGAAGAGAGCGATGTTCTGCATGGGACTTGTACATCTAATAATTTGTATACGTTGTTCTCTCCTGTAACCGCTGATTTTAACAGAGGTTTGAGGTCTCCTGTAACCGCTGATTTTAACAGAGGCACAGTTCTGAGGTTGAAATTTTGCCAAGGCAGAGCCGTTAGGCTACTTTTTGGATTTCCAACTGCCAAGAGGTTTTTTACGTGCTCAACAATGCACACAAGCGTCTGATCTCACTACCCATAGACCAGGGGAAATTACTAGACGTCCAAGTCCATGTGAAAAATCCCAGCCCTTACCGGGGATTGAACCCGGAACCTCTAGCACTGAGGCGGACACCATGCTCTGAGACCACGCAGCCCCGCTGATTTTAACAAGTAGTCAGACACTACAGAGTTACCTAATATTTTTGCAAACTAGCCAGAAGCTATACGGTGACTTTTTTTAAAATCTAGTAAGTCAGTTAGAAACTAAAGAGTGACTTACTTACATATCAATTGGAAGCTATACAGTGACTTATGTACCAAGAAACTCGCTCTTACGTTTTATTCTGCAATTGTCAATCGCCTCAATCTGTCGTTTCATTGTCTGTCTGTTTGTGCGTCTGTTTTTCTGTGTTTGCGTATTTTTTTTAAATAAAAATAGATTCTAGAGTTAATTACCTTATTGCCACATACGCAGGACGCCTGGCCAACCTAATGTTGAACATGATCTTATCATAGAAGAGCTTATCGTATTTGTCTGTGATCTTGACTGAACCTGCAGAAGATATCTCATACTCTCCGTTCACCAGCATGGTCTCCAATTTTATTGGGCTGTCGCATTTCTGAAACTAAAGTTAGATTTTAAAAAAATGTATTTAAAGTAAAGATCCCTTTTCACGCCTTTAAGCGCATCGGGCATATGGGAAGAGCACCCATAGTTTTATAGACCAATCGACTCTTTGTGAGTAATGTGGTCAGCATTACGCCGGCCGTTTTTACTTTCCCAGGACATATTTCCCGGTATCCATTTTAGGCTGGGTCGATCTGCGACGCCCCATACCATGATTAAAATCCACGCAGCCAGCAGCGGGTTTCGATCGCTGTACGTTGGAATTACGAGTCAGACCCATAACGCCTATGTCAAGGACGCCGCAAAGTTAGACTGAGCTGGATAAGTGCATTCGGATCTCTAAGTGACAACTACAAAAACAATGAGTGAATCAATAAATCAGTAAATCACAAATTATCATCCTAGCACTCGGGACATTACCACATGTGCTCCGTCTCCTTCCTCAGTAGACAACGAAGAGTCGATGTGCGAATAGTACCAATTGCTACCTGGTTAAAAGTTCCCCTCAATCTTCTAAACCCTGTCCTCGCTCCCCGCTAAATGATTATGTTAGTGTATTGATGCTACGGCTGTTCTGTTACACTTTTTACTTGATCACGCAAAGCCCTCTTTGCGTCCGCTTTTTTCATAGAGTAACATACCACCCAGAGGTGCAGCAGTAGCCATTCTATTAAGCCTGCTCATTACTCCGCACACCTGAAAAATCTGGTCAGAAAATCCATTATGTGCTCCTGATCTGAGTATTATCAAGCTATGTAAGCCACTTTACGCCCAGGGCGCCTGTTTCTATTTTCCAAAGCATGTTCTGTATGTCCGATACAATTACTACATGCTGAGCTGTGCTGCTCTCCGGGCATTGGAAATCTGCTGTTACCGCCTCCACCTCCATTCTCATACTGGATGTTGTGATGTTATACACGAGGCGCTCTGTTTTCAGTATCCATTTATCTTTACGATAAAACCCCACCCACTCTTTGTATCTCTTACTACTCCATCTGTGTATACAACCATATCTCCTGTATGTGAACTGTCCTTAATCAGCTCTTGTCCCGGTGCCACTGTTTCACCAGCTATCCATTCCCAGCACCCTCGGTCCAAGGTAACTATCACTTAATGCAAGTCTGTCTTACTTGGCGGCACTGCAACCCATCTCACACTATGAGCTATCTTGTCAGTAGCACAAACAGTTTGAACGTGATTTCTGCCAGTGTTATCCAAGAGAAACCTGTTTTCAGTCGATTACTCATGCTATCCCCCAAGATCTCATGTAGAACGTGTTCCATGTCCGTTGAGGTAAATTTCCTTCAGTAGCACACTGTATCTGTCCGATTGCTAACGATTGGCGTTTCCTATGTACACCTTAAAATTACTTGCATGGTTTCATTTTAAATGTATCCCAGCTTCCCTATTTGACTGTTAGATGATGTGAGCAGGCCCAAACCATAACTGCAAAGGTATGTAAGCATATATCTCTAACAGCATAGGTATTTGTATAATTCAAGTTGATGACAAATGAATTCATTTCTCCTAATTGAGCTTGAAACCATGAATGCATGCAAAACAGTATTATAGTTGCTTAAAATTATATTTTCGATGAACATTTTCTGCGCTGTCCTTACAATCAAGGATGACTATAGAGCACCCACAGTTTATGTTAATATTACGCAGTGATTGCCAACAAGCTTCCACGGTATGACTCTAGTGCAGCTGCCAGAAAAAAAAAAAAAAAAAACCACGAGAACGGAAAACTAGCAAAGCGAAAATTCAGCAATAGTACTCGATGATGACGAAACTGTTAAACGTATTCACTAACCTCTAAATCCCAAAACAGCACATATTAAAAAATAAATGAATACGGATCTCTAAATGACACTTGTAAAGAAAAAAAATATAATTATGACAATAAATGATGGCAGTATGACTTCATTATTACTTACAAAAACACTGGTGTTATCATGACTCCAGGACCAAATATCCACAGGACAGACGCTGACATCAAAGGGATACTTTGACATGTCCAGCTGCCAAAAAATATACATACTGTAAACATTGAATCAATGTCCAAGTAATTTGAAGAGCATTAAATAGGATGAATTCAGCCAACTCGAAGCAATATAAGTTCTTTAGGGGTGGATAACTGATGGTAATAATAGTTATCACTTCAGTAAATTCAAGAACCGACATAACAGCACTTGGGGGGTTTCCATAAGTTCACCATCACTATCTTCAAAAGCCAGCGCAGAGTTCCAATACCAAAGGAGCTAGTAACATTCTGATTATACGTCCGTCTTGCCATTCCTCTGAGAATCGAGTATCGACCAAATCCCTTCGTCCCTTCCCGCTGCATCACTCCTACCATTTTCTCCTCCGAGCTTTACACGTGCTCACACAATGCCATAACCACGTCTGGCTTGTCATGCATCAACATTCAACTAAAATTGTGCAGAGCCAGCCAGTCTGTCTGCCTGGTCGTTTCTCAACACACAAACATAGCCCTGAGAAGAGATCCAGACAATGCTCCTCACCAGTGACCTCCCATGCGAAGCACGCCATTCTGCACGACGCATGCCTGTCCGCACCTTCCCCAGTATGCTGTCTAAGTCAGTTACAATCACGATGTTTGTGGTGTTCTCTAACCAACAGATGTTCATGAGAAATGCCAAATTATACTGGAAAAAATTACCTAACACAGCACAACACTATGGTGATGATAATGATTAATGACGATGACGAGGATGATGATGATGATGATGATGATGTTGAAAATCGAGGTATTTAATTTCGTACCGATGCGGATTTTCATAATAACTGTCCAGGTTGACTCGGGCTAAAGCTAGTACCGGGAAATGGTTTGAATAGTGAAGCTGCTGGGCATGATGTTGATCCAATTATTCATCGAGTGAGGATTTGACTATTAAAATATGAGTCCAGGACTATTTGCCGGTGTATCGGTCATGTACTCAAAATGGATAAGACAAGACTCCCCCCATCAAGCCCTCACATGAACACCAAAGGGGAAAAGAAAAAGGGGGAAGACCAAGAGAGACCCTGTGTAGAAACCTCATCAGGAGAGGCTCAACCATGCCTAATGAACATCCAAGACATAAAACAGGTGGAACGTACCGCAAGACAGGAAGAGCTATGACTTCATCCCTAGACGCCGCACTAGGCTCAATAAGAAAGACCAGCTAACCATAAGCCAGATGGCGTCCAAAATGATGGAATTGTGGACAATAGGTTTCAAGCTTTCTGTTGTCATTTGTCTCTGACATAGTGTTTCTTAATGCATTTAGTTTATATTTGAATATGTTTGGTTTCAACGCCAAGCAACTTGGTTTAAAGTTATCGTCCCCTCCCCTCGTAACAAATATATAAAATATATTTATTAATTACAATATTCATATTATTATTAAGTCGTTAAACAAGACACAATACCACTGAGTACTCACACGGCAGTCAAGGACGTTCAACCCCAACAGGACCGTGAAACAGCGAGTGACACAAAGTGCCACCATTTGGATGAGAATCGCCCGGGTACAAGTCCTAGAAACCTCGTTCAACCGTTAGGTTATGTTTAAAAAAAAATTTTAAAAACAATCGCATCTCATTTTTGGGCGAGGTGCCGTAAGTCGCCTTAGAAAATTTGTAAGGGGATGGAACGTCCTTCTACACCCTTATCTGTTCTTTGCGTCATCGCACTTGCGATACCACATTGTAAACGGTAAGTAGATTTAGAATTGGAATTATTCTAATATTAAGATTCAGATGGCGCTTGTACCTTGCACGTACTCTCCAGATATAATGGTGGATACCAGGTTACCCTCCCATAAGATCTGACAGCAACAAAAATGGCGTCGCTTCCAAGTTTGTCGTTTCCGTTGGCGCTGAGATGAGAAATTAATAAATTTTTTTTGAAAATATTATTGAAATGTGTATTTATAGAGTGTAAGTATGAATACGAGGGGTGGGTGTGGGCGGGAGACACGTTGTTAGTGGTTCAGAAAGACAGAGAAAGAGAGAGAGAGAGAGAGAGAGAGAGAGAGAGAGAGAGAGAGAGAGAGAGAGAGAGAGGGAGGGAGGGAGAGAGAAAGGAAGTTGGAGAGAGTGGATAGTGAGAAAGGATATTTACCGAGATAAATAAAAAGTGTCAATAGGGCTAAAAGACAGACATATAAACATACTGACATAATGACAAACATTCAGGAAGACACATAAATGAATAGATAAGAAGACAGAAAAGCTCTCTCTCTCTCTCTCTCTCTCTCTCTCTCTCTCTCTCTCTCTCTCTCTCTTTCTCTCTCTCTCTCTCTATAACACACACACACACATATATACATACACACATACAGACAGACACACACACATATATACATACACACATACAGATCCACACACACGTATATACATACACACACACATATATACATACACACATACAGACACACACACACACACACACACATATATATATATATATATATATATATATATATATATATATATATATATATATATATCAATGTGTCTATGGTCGAGGCGGCCTAAATTGCAAGTAACAGAACCATATATCTTCTTCGAAGCAGTAAAACAGGAAGTGAAGAACAAGAAGAAGGCTCCATCGGAGGCTAACTACGTGAAGGTTTCAGACGCCGCAATGGGGATGGGGGGGGGGGAGGGGGGAGTGGGTATAGCAGATATTTGGGGTATCTTCCGAATAACGGTCCCAAATTATCGAGGCATAAAAATATACCCTCACAGGACCTCAGTCACGTGTCAATTGCGCACTTCCGGCAATTTAAATTGCGCACTTCCGACTGGGACCCACTAGCAGCAGCTACCCCATTTCCTGCAGCTGCCTTAATTGTATTTGCTTGTGAGTCTTAGCCATCTAGTTTAGCCCCAATCCAGGCCGCGTGAGCGGCGTCTGGGACAGGAGGCGTCGGGCATACACTCGGCGTTGGCGGAAGTCGCCGGAAGTTCGCAATTCTGCAGCGCCTGTTTAGTCCCCGGACGTACGCAATTGACATGTGACTGAGGCCCTGTTAGGGTATATTTTCTGCCTCGATAATTTGGGACTGTTATTCGGAAGATACCCGATATTTGTATTTCTTGTCCTGACCACACGGTACAAAAATAAAGGACCTTTTCCTTTCAGTAGGGAATCAGGAACATGAAGCTAGCCTCATATATTTATAAACCATCTTGCACTAAATAGGTGTGGACAGCAACCCAGCAGACAATTTTACTTCCAAGAACTGAACCTCAAACCAGTTTTAGGCTGAGTCGATCTGACAGCCAAAGCCACCTTTGAAAAAACGATAAGGATTTGAACATTAGACATTCTGACCGAGAGGTGAGTGTCTAGCCTATTAACCACCTTGGCTCCCTCTTCACCACTCATCACACTAAATAATATGGATGACAATAAATAAAATAGACGAAATAAAATAATATGAATGACAGTAAATAACATAGACGAAATTAAATAATATGAATGATAGTAAATAATATACGTGACAGTAAATATTATGGATGACAGTAAATAATATGAATGACAGTAAAAAATACATGACAATAAATAATATGTATGACAGTAAATAATATAGATGACATTAAAAAATGAATGACAGTAAATAATATATATGACAGTAAATAATATGGATGACAGTAAATAATATGGGTGACAGTAAATAATATCGATGACACTAAATAATATGAATGACAATAAATAATATCAATGAAAGTAAATAATATGAATGACAGTAAACATTATGAATGACACTAAATAATATGGATGACAATAAATAATATAGTTAACATTCAATAATATGAATGACAAAAATAATATAGTTGACAGAAAATAATATTGATGTCAGTAAAAAATATGGATGAGAGTAAATAATAAGAATGACAGTAAATAATACAGACGACAGTAAATAATATCGATGACACTTAGTAATTTGAATGCCAGTAAAAATATAGATGACAGTAAAAAATATAGGTGAAAGTAAATAATATGGATGACAACAAACAATATGGAAATCAGTAAATAATGTGATTGGCGGTAAATATTATGGATGACAGTAAAAAATATAGATGCCAGAAAATAATATGGATGACCATAAAAAATATTTTGGCTCCCAGGTCAACGCAGCCTTGACTGAGAACCAGGTACAGTCCTTGGAAGTAAAGGTGGCAGGCATGATACTGACCAAATCACCAAAAAAAGGGCTGTTTGGTCTATAAATTATAGGTCTAGCCCTATATAACTAATACGCCTGAAAGGCTTGGAAAAGGGTCCTTTACTTTGCCGTAAAAATAATATGAATGACAATAAATAATAAGGATGACAGTAAATAATATGGATGACAATAAATACTCACGTATTGTGAATAACGAGGTCTGGTTTCCAAACCCTGTTCTGAGGGATCACTATTCTCTCAATACCTCCATTCTTTGCTGGATCCCACTGCAGTAGCTCGTCTCGCCATATCTGACAAACAAAGGGATTGACATTTTTTAGAGATCAGAATAAAAAGTACCATTATTGCTAACTGGCAGTCGCAGAGTTTTAAAATAAATAGTACTTTGGCATTTACAAACTTTTCTTTCACACAGATGTGCATGCTTGTTATGAAACAAACTTTCTATCTTCTTCCCTACTTGTCTTCCTCTGGGTCTATTATCCTTCAACTGTCCTGTTGTCACGAAATACTTGAGACTTTGCCTGAAGTACGAGGTAGACTGTTACATTTTGCTGCGGTTAGTTGTTGTTGTTAGTGAGCATCAAAAGCAAAAGTAGCTGCATTGGACCAGGTATCTTTTCGTAACCGGTAACTACCCAAACCTTTTGGCAGGAACTCTTCCTTTTCCAAAAACATTTGTAGTTTAACAGCAATATTCTTCTCAAGCAGCTTGCCAAAAGTATTTTGTAGGGGGATAATCTTGAAACCGCTGAGTCTGGAATGATCTTTGCCTGGTTATATATATATATATATATATATATATATATATATATATATATATATATATATATATATATATATATATATATATATATATATATATCATGTGCTAGGAGCCTGTCCTACTACTAGGCGCGTCCACCAGGTGGCGGATGGTGGAAAGGCCTCTAGATATAGAGGTTAGCCACGAATATATTGAATAAGTGGCCGTGGACCAAAACTGGTGATGGTCATTGAGAGGAGGCGAGTTAGTTGATTGGACAGCTAACTCTATAAAATACCTCAAAACTCTACGACATGGCCATCGGCGGGTAAGAGGCGCCATAACCTCTCCCCCCTGCTGCCTTGCAGGGTAAGTCTCTTTAGACAAAGGCTATTGGAGTCAAACCATATACAAACCGGCGGAAGTCAAGGGGAAACCACCGCTCTGTAATATCCCGAGAAAATCATGCCTCAAAATAATACATATTCAGATAACGACGTGAATGGGGATTCCAGTGGAATCACGTCGTCCGGTAGGGAGCATCATGTTCTACGGGTGATACCCGACCGTCATCCAGCTACTGTAGAAAAAGTAAAATAGTAGAAACATCATGAACATTGGTACATGGAATATCAGAACACTCGTACAAAACGGAAAGTTGGATAATATCAAGATGGAAATGAAAAGAATGAACATCAACATATTAGGAATTAGTGAAATGCGATGGCCAGGAGCAGGTGAAAAGTATTCAGATCAGTACATAATTATTTACTCGGGTAGGTAGGAATATAGTAAGGGAGTTGGTATTATTTTGGATCAAAAGAACTCAAAAACTGTGAAAGGATTTTGGACAATATCAGATAGAGTACTATTAGTAAAACTTCGCGGCAGACCGTTTGACATCAACTTAGTACAGATTTATGCCCCAACAGCAGATAGTTCAGAGGAAGATATTGACGCAATTTATGACCAGTTAGACATGGCTGTTGATCAATGCAAAAATTGTGAAGTAACAATGGTACTTGGAGATTTCAACGCGAAAATAGGAAGTGAAAAAGTACGGAATAACGGGTGGCTATGGCCTAGGAGAACAGAATGTGAGAGGTGACAGATTAATAGCATGGGCTGAGTCACGCAGCATGATAATAGGTAACACCTGGTTTAAACACCATCCTCGAAGATTGTGGACTTGGAAAAGTCCTGGTGATAATGTCCGCAATCAGATTGATTATATTTTGATTTCAAGAAGATTCAGGAGCAGCTTAGTTGGAGCAAAAACCTGACTTGGAGCAGACTGCTTTAGTGACCATGTTCCCGATGTAGGAAAAATTAGAATAAAACTAAAGAACATTAGAAAAACACCACAGAACATCGAGTTAAATTTAGGAATTCTTAGAACTGATAAAGAAATTAGGGACCAGTACAATGTCACTGTACAAAACCGCTATAATGCAATGGAAATTATACAGACTATTGATGAACAGTGGGATATGTTGCGTGAATCAATTCAGCAGACATCTAAAGAGACAATCCCACCAACCCATAGAGTTGCAAAAAAGAAATGGATGTCAACCGAAATTCTGCAGTTGATGAATGAAAGAAGGAAGAAAAAGAATGATAAAGAAGAATACTCTAGAATACAAAAAGAAATAGTGAGCAAATGCAAAGTGGCTAAAGAATCCTGGCTGAATCAAATGTGTACAGAGATTGGGGAAAACAACAGGAAAGACTCACATTCCATGTACCAAAAGGTAAATATGTTAACAAGAAAGATGACACGTAACAGCACTGGTTGTTTGAAATCAAAAGATGATGACTTATTAATGGGACATAGTAATATAATTAACAGATGGACAGAGTATTTAGAGGAATTGTATGATGATAATAGACCAGATGTAGAACTGCAGACCAACAATGATGGTCCACCAATAATGACTGCAGAAGTTGAGGATGCAATACATCATATGAAGAAAGGAAAAGCACCCGGGCCAGACAACATCTCACTGGAAGAAATCGAAGCACTGGGAGATTTTGGAATTGAAATAATAACTAAACTTTTAAATGATATTTATAATAGTGGGTATATTCCAAATGACCTTTAAAATCCATATTTATAGCTCTGCCTAAGAAACCTGGCACTATAAAATGTAAAGACCATCGCGCAATAAGTCTTGTGAGTCACATGACTAAGATTTTACTGAGAACAATTATGAGAAAAATAAGAAACAAAATTAAACCATAAATCAGCGATGAACAATGTGGATTTGTAGAAGGAAAAGGTACAAACAATGCCATATACATCCTAAGGACATCGTTAGAAAGAGCTATAGAAGTAAAGACTGATTTGTACATATGCTTCATAGACTATACAAAAGCATTTGACTGTGTGAAGCATGAAGAAGTAATTAAACTGTTAGAAAAATTAAACATTGATGGGAAAGATCTACGAATAATAAAGAATATTTTTGGCGGCAAACAGCAGCTTTAAAAATTACCAACTGTTTAGGTACATTTTAAAGCATAAAGAGGGGCGTACGATTTCAATATTCAGTGAGTATATTATGAGAGCTTTAATTGGTATGCCCGGAATTGTGGTTGGTGGGCATAATATAAACAATTTACGTTATGCTGATGACACAGTCTTGATAGCAACAGGTCAGAAAGTACTACAGGAAATGATAGACATTGCGGTGTTAGAAAGTGAAAGAATGGGCCTCAGTTTGAATAATGGGAAGACAGAAGTAATTGTTGTATCAAAGAAACGAATTATTCCAAAGTGTGTAATAAAAGTTGATGGTGTTATTTTAGGACAAGTACAGAAATTTAAGTATCTGGGCACATGGATAACATCAGATGGAAGATGCATAACTGAGATAAAAAACAGAATAGGACAGGAAAAAACTGCATTTTATAAAATGAAAAACATCTTGTGCAATATATCCTTGCTATTGAGAGTTAGAAAAAGAATTCTTGCTTGCTACGTACATCCAGTTTTAACATATGGCTGTGAATCCTGGACAATCGGTAGGCAGGCCAAACAATTTCTTGAGGCCTCGGAGATGTGGTTTTACAGAAGAATGCTTAGAATACCTTGCACAGCCAAAAAGAGCAACCAAGAGGTTTTGAAAGAGGCGGAAGCCCGAAGACAACTTATCACAGACATCAGAAGGAAACAGTCATCATTTTTCGGCCATGTTATGAGAAGAGGGAAAATAGAACATGCTGTGACCACTGGAAAGATATGTGGAAGGAGAGATAGAGAAAGACAACGAGAGAAGATTCTTGACAGTCTTGTTGCATGGCATGGAGGTGTGTGGGCACACGAACTGATACATGCTGCAGGAAATCGCCGATTATGGAGAGGCATGATTGCCCACGCCAGTCGGCAAGGCACATGAAGATGACGATGATATATATATACAATCTTCGCCATTTTAATACTCATCACTCTTCTCTAAAATCACACATTGGCCCTCATCGCATATTTTCAATAATCGACTGCCTGTGTATGATTACCTTTCGTGCATAAAGTGAAAAAAAAAATACTGTAGGTAGGTAGGTAAGTTGTACCCCACCAGGACATCACACAAGCGATAAACACCCGGTGACACAAAGTGCCACCATGCTGATGAGGATCACCGGTGGAGAGGTACCGGAAACCTTGTTTAGCCTTCAGGGTATATTCAAAGCACGGCTATATTTAGGGCCACCGGCCAAAGCCAGGGTTGAGCTACAAAATAACTAGGATGGGTAGAATATATAAAATACTGGAGACAAAGGAAACATTGGAGGAAAGGAATTATTTGAGGAAGGGAAACATTGGAAGAAAGAGGTTCAGACCCTTACAATTTTCTTGGGGCGAGGCTCAAAATCTTGTTTCAGCATGCAATAATAATAATTATTATTTGCTGAATAGATTATGTGTGTGTGTATATATATATATATATATATATATATATATATATATATATATATATATATATATATATATATATATATATATACACATAAAAAAATATCAAATCTATTTTTTTAAATACTTAAAAAGAGAGCGTCTATAAATAATTAGGGGCCCCACTTCTGTCTCTTACAAATTTTATTGAAAAGGGGACTGAATGAGGCATAGCCCCCTTAGGGGGCAGCATGGGGTGGGGGGGGGGGGAGGATTCAACCACTTTAAAAAAAGTTAAAAACATTTTTATGAGGGGTGGGGTTGTGTTCGAAAGCAACCGGCCCCTCCCTCCCCCCACTATCAGGTTATAGCGCGGCTTTCCTCCGAAAAACAGGCACATACTATGGTGGCCAAAAATATACCCTAGCAGGGCCTTAGTCACATGTAAATTGCGGACTTCCGCCGCTACGCGGCATGGAGTGGGGCTAAACTATTTGGCGGGGACTCACAAGCAAATAAAATGAAGGAAGCTGCAGGAGATGCGGTAGTTGCTGCTCGTCAGTCCCAGCAATCTAGTTTAGCCCCACTCTAAGCAGGGCGTAGCGGCGTGGGAGATTCCCCAGGCGGTGGCGGTAGTCGCAGGAAGTTCGCAATTTAAGTCGCCGAAAGTTCGCAATTTACATGTGATTAAGGCCTTGTCAGGGTGTGTGTTTTTTTTTTGGGCCTAAATAATACGTGCCCGTGATTCGGAGGATAGCCTGCCAGCGCTGTTGACTAGTGTTAAATAATTTACGTAATGCCATATTCTGTAGTGGTTGTAAATCTGGTACTGTAAACGGAAAAGTGGTTGCATACATTAGTCAGCACTTGGATGTCTGAATACTTACAATTTTCAGAAAGCCACGGAGAAATAGTATCTGTTGCTTCGTATCCTGTACATAAAACAAGACGCAAAATATTATGTTAACGTACATACATACATACATACTTACATACATACATACATACATACATACATACATACATACATACATACAAACATACATACACACACACACACACACACACACACACAAACATACATACATACATACATACATACATACATACATACATACATACATACATACATACATACATACATACATACATACATACATACATACATACACATACATACATACATACATACATACATACATACATACATACATACATACATACATACATACATACATACATACATACATACATACATGCATACATACATACATACATACATACATACATACATACATACATACATACATACATACATACATACATACATACATACATACATACATACATACATACATACATACATACATACATACATACATACATACATACATACATACATACATACATACATACATACATACATACACATACATACATACATACATACATACATACATACATACATACATACATACATACATACATACATACATACATACATACATACATACATACATACATACATACATACATACATACATACATACATACATACATACATACATACATACATACATACATACATACATACATACATAGATACATACATACATTCATACATACATACATACATACATACATACATACATACATACATACATACATAGTGGTGGTTTTGGTTGCAGTGGTAGCTAGGGCGTAGGCGATACTAGTAGTAGTAGTAGTAGTTATTGTTGTTGTTGTTGTAAGAGTAGTAGAGGTGGTGGTAGTAGTAGTAGTAGAAGTAGTATTAGTAGTAGTAGCAGCAGCAGCAGTAGCTGTAGCATAAGTATTGATGACGGTTTTAGGGTACATCAAATACATACCAATCCCAAAATGGCAGATAAATGAAGTTCAATGATGACATCAGTTGGGTTACTATAGTTCTACTTGGACGAACCAATGGATTGTAGCCCTCAAACAGTGTCTCCAGAAGTGATTTCATCTCTGTCTCTCCGCTTGTACACTCAGCTGTTCAGAATTATTTAAAATCGTAGTAATATTAATAAGAAATTTGTGCAGATAAAAAGACACGGTCGTGAACCTGCGTTTGCTTTGATAAAGCAACCAGTCACGTTCGAGTGAAGTCGATTTTGTATTTCAGCTAGAATTGGGAACATTTACTTGCTTCAGTGCATCCAATTGACACTAAGGTATGCATCTGACAAGAGAAGGCGAAAAATGGCAGGCAATGAACTGTGCAATCGGCTTTTCTTCAATCATCTTTCTTAAAATGGAAACGTCTCTTATTTAAAATGCCATTTTGCACACTCGGTCCAGATAAACTGATTAAGGTCAATAACACAATAATATATATATATATATATATATATAGAGAGAGAGAGAGTGAGAGAGAGGAATCAGAGAGAAGACATAATAGAGGAAAGACAGACACAAAGATAGAAATTGGATGGAGATTGGGGTGGGGCTATTTGGGGGTAAGTGGTCGATGGTCAACCCTCAAACACATTTTCTAAAGGAAATGGCCTCGTAGATCATTCCATTTGATTCATCATCAGTTCTGGTTATGCCTAGTGGCACATGAGGCTTCCGTGAGGACTTTCTGTGCTTTCATATCCTGTGTAATCTTTTGTGCAGTTCTCCATGTCAGAGATGCCGCACTCAGGTCACTTTCGATCTTTCGTCTCCATGTTGCTTTGGGACGCCTCTTTTTTCTTTTTCCCTCTGGTAATCCATGTGAGAGCTGTTTTGGCATTATAGCAGGATTCATACTCATAACGTGGCCAAGCCATTTTCATCTTCTCTTATTTATCATACTGTCTAGAGTTTCTTAGTTTGCAACTTTAAGTAGCTTAGTGTTTGAGATTGTATCTGTCCAGAAATTTTTGATAATTCTACAAAGACATGTGTGGTGGAAAGTGGATAGCTTGTGTGCATCCTGTTTGGTCATTCTCCAGCATTCTGATCCATAAAGAACTGGCAAAATGATGCTCACATAGAGTGTGAGTTTCATTCCTCTGCAGTAACAGTTGGACTTCCAGATTTGGTTTATCTTTCCCTATCCGAAAGAAAACACCAATCGGTAATTTCGTGCAGCAGGGTACCAGCCCACCTCCGAAAGTTTCTAGGAGAATCGTGGGCCGAAACACTTGTCGACGAGGATATCTTCTACTGATGACTGGTAGATCCCTGCTGTACTTGCTCCCTGTGAGTTTATTCCTATTCCAAAAGCAGCTCTAGCTTAGTTCAGGCGTGACTTTATGTTTTCCCCTGTCCCTTTAGGGACACCACACCCCCAAGATATGTGAAATGTTCTACATTTTCAAGTGTTTGGTTATTTATGGTCACTGGTTGATGGTTTGGACTGTTTTTCATGATAGTTGTTTTCTTTGTATTTATTCTCAGTCCTATTATTTCTCCTGTAATTTGATTGAGCTGTTAAAGACAATAGTATTACACATATATACATAGTTAGAAGTGGGTACATTTGTCTCCCAGGTGCCTGAGCCACCTTACACTGAAATTGGCAAACTACTGAATGTAGTTTATTAACACTTGCTGGAACTGCTATGTAGTGTCCTTAGCCGAAATACTTTTTTTCAAAGTTTTAAATATTCAATTTCTTGTTTTATTGCATATCATTTTCAGCGATTATATCACCATTACATGTAAATTTGAAGGGTGCTTAAATTTAACACACACGCGCGCGCGGACACACACACACACACACACACACACACACACACACACACACAAAGGTAGTTGCGTTCCATTACATGACATTGCAGAACCAATCCTAAGATTAATTTTTTTGGGTGTGTGTGTTCCAGTTTTTCGAAGCAAATTGACGTTTAGTCCCCCCCCCCCCCCCCCCCCCCCCACCCCCCCCCACCCCCCCCCCCCCTTTTTTTTCAACTCAACTGTCAGCTGTCCATGTTACTGTTCTACTAAGAAGATCTCTTTAAAACTTATTGGCTATGGATCGAGACAACCTCACAAAAGCGGGTACCCGGAAATTTACTGAATGTTCTGGGCATTTACATGGGAAGAAAATTTAACGTTGAAAAGAACTGACCGTCCTACATTATATGTCGTGGTCTATCATTCCTAACTGACCGTCCTAAATTATATGTCGTGGTCTATCATTGCTAACCCCAACTGCAGTGTCTACATCGGTTCTAGATTACTTAGTTGCGTATCCTTTACAGGACGTTGCAGAACCAACCTCAGCAGCCCCTTGATGTTGTGTGGTTTCTCTAGGCAAATTTACGTCCAGTAGGTTGCCATTGCTTCCTAGACGGTCGAGCCCCTGATACCACTGTCGAAACCAACGCAAGGCGCATGGCCCGCAGCTGGGATCAAAACCGGCACCCCAGCAATACGAAGCGTTCACATCGACTTAGCCACAGAGCCGACTCAACGGTACTAACGTTAAAAATATCATGTTTCCCCGAAAAAAGGACAGGATCATAATAATTCGTTCTCTAAAAAGGATGCTTTATTGTGTTTTTTTTTTTTTTTTTTTTTTAATCTAATTTTTCTTTTCTCACTTACAAATCTGCAATTAAATTAACACAACGAATGTTATCTTCTTGTGAGAAATATTTATAATTTAAAACGCCCGTCGTGTGTTTCAGCTGCCTGCTGGTTGGCGATCTTAATTAACGGTAGCTTACAATTGGGTTAGGGTTTATATTACAAGCCGAGGTCTAGCTACTAGACCCTCGCCTGTGGATCGGAAGGTCGTGGGTTTGGGTCCTGACGGGGGCCGGCCTTTTTTTTCAAAAAATGACCTTGGCTTCCAGGTCGACCCATTCTTGAGTTGGTACCAGGTACAGTCCTGGGAAGTAAAGATGGCCGGCTTGATGCTGGCCACATCACCCACCAAGTGCCGTTTGGTCTATAAAATATAGGTCTAGCCCTATATACCCAATACGCCTGAAGGCGTGAAAATGGGTCCTTTACTTTAACTAATGTTAACAAGCATTCTGAAAAACTTTTAAGGGGCTTTTTTTCTGCTTAGTTTTTTTTTTTTTTTTTTTTAACAAATTTACACAATCAAATTACCGTCTTTCCCGAATGCACACAATATGAAGATAATACCCAGTCCAAAGATTGCCAGCTTGGCTGTCATGACACAGGAATATCGTTCTAAACAAATCTAAAGGAAAGCACTAAAAAAAAAATTAATTATGTTTGTTATCTGCAGTTTTGGAACAGCTTGGCCACAAGTGTTACAAACATTTGTCTGTGTCTGAACCGCTTATATCTGCAAAACCCTGACTGGCAAAAGTATACCCCTCTGTTGATCACAATAAATTTAATTATATTTTCTGGTTGTAACATCAAAGCAGATTAGCCAAATATACTTATGTGTTATAAACGTTTTTGACGACTGAATAATTCCTTTCCGAAGACATCCAGTAACTCAGTCTTAAATTGTGAATTAGCCTTAGACAAAAGTAACACAGGTTATATTAAAATTGCTGGCTCTTTCTTCAGTAAAAAGTGACAAAATATTCGCATGTATTATAAACTTTTCCCGAGAGCTAAAACTGTATTATCGGCTAAAGTGGAAAAACGCGAAAAACAAGTGCGTGTGGTAACTGTATTTTCAGAATAGACTGACCAAATACATTTCTGTATGTGATAAACTTGTATCGATAAACGAATTGTTTTAATAGCCCTGGGCTCTCAGGTTGCCTCGACTAAAGAGTTTCGAATTATCCTGAAAGTAAACAACATAATTTCTTATTTGTCGTATTCTGTAGCTTCAGATCAGACTGACATATGTTCGTAAGAGTAACTTTTGGCGATGACTGAACCGTTTATATCAGGAAAAAATACACAATCTACCCCATCAGTAATAAATAACATGATCCTATTAACTTCTCGACAAGCAGGCTTATGATGGGTTTTAGGACATGATCCCACTAAAAGCAGTTGTGCTAGTGAATGCCTCTATTGGGCGAGCAATAAATTATTCAGAGCCATATTTTGGCAATGCCACAACATGTTGTTTTTTATATTTGATATTTTGTGTAGGCTGTTATTAAGATTAATTGGTGTGTTTGACTATGCACAACTTTAACTTTGATGTGTATACTATTTCCTACAAAAACACAGAGTTGAAAATCTTGCACATATGTGTGCGTGCCGTTTATCCGCCCTGGGCAGCTACCTGAAAAATTTGAAAATCTTGGATAAAAGATCTCAGTCTGGATGGCAAACCACCAGGACCTGCAAGCTTGGCACCGTACGACTAAAGAATCACAGTGCTGATGGTAGGCCAACAGGGTAAGCCCAGATATCCCTTTCAACCTCTAGGAAGTTATATATGTAGCCTGGTGTATTCTGCAGTAGTGTAATGCTATCAATGACAACAGTAACTATCTTAGTGGCTTGTGGTTTGAGGTGCATACCACTCGAGGTACGTAGACAGTCGTGCTGGTGGCTCGAGTATTGGCCTGACCTTGATTGCCTTGCTTTAGTAAACACCAACCTAGGCGACTTAACACATTAGCTACATCTAGGTTCAGTCTTTTGTTGTACTTGTTTACACTGACATCAAAGCCCACACATAATCTAGATATGATAGACATGATATAAATTATGTTTAGTTGAATACTGTAATTATCACTTGAACATAATTTACCTAATGAGACAGTAGTTTCAAATCCAACCTGAACTGTATTATCACAGAAACCTGAAATTGGGTATAGTAGCCATATAATACACGAATGTAACCATAAGACTCAACAGAAACTTGAAACACAATCAAAACAGTGTTCCATGATGAATCCCAATTAAATATGATGAAAGCTATTACCAACTAGGATCATCCTCATCAGTCACAAAAACACTTGTACCATGTATCTAATGCCCGATGTATGCCTGCCACTTGTTAGATCTACACCAAGTCACCTACCTGTCACAAGCTGTAGAAAATGCCTTTCTAGAGAAGAAAACGGTCTCGCATTGTGGGTCCACTTCAAACAAGCTTTCACCAAAATGAGGAAAAATGGTCTCATTGCAGAACTAAAGAGAAGTGAAATCCAAGATAACATGCTAAGATGGATACAATTGTTCTCACTAACAGGAGAACTAAAGTCACTCTTGATGGTTTGCACAGCAGGAAAGTGTCGCTTCATCAAGGAGTATCCATGGAGGAGTTCTCCAACTCTCTTTCTTGTTTACACCAATGACCTGGTGAAAGATTTCCCTACAGGAGTGAACGCTGCCATGTATGCACATGATTTGACTATCTGTTGCACTGATGAACACACCGCAATGGCAAATCTAAGAATGCAGCGAGCAACAGATCTCATGGCATAGGCATAAAAGCAGCATGTTACCATCAACACGGACAAAGGATCTACAACGCTTTTCTCTCTTACCTCCAGGGACAAAGGGAATAGTATTCGTCTGTGAACGTCATAGCTAAAGAAAGAAAGCTTTCCCACTTATCTTGGAGTGACAATTTATAAAAGGCTCACGTGCAGCAAACATACAGAAAATGTAGACGGAAAGGCCTGGGGACGACAATGGTTACTTAGAAAACTGGCAGGTACAAGTTGGAAATCGAATGTAAAAACCCTACTGAAAGATTACAAAGGAGCGATCAGACCCAACCTGGAGTTTGGTGAAACAGCTTAGTCGTCAGTCGCTAACTCTCATCTACAATCATTAGACAGAGTGAAAAATCAAGCCCATAGACTCATCAGGAAAACTGGAAGTCCTGAAGATGCAGAAAAAAATTCAACTGCACACACTGTCCCATAGAAAGGACACTAAAACTATGATCCAGATGGAGATGTTTACTAGTATGCAGTCACACCCAATGAAAGCAAGACTATTTGATCTGGCATTGGGGAGTCTCAAATCTAGCAGCGTTGTCCATAAGGTGAAAAGTTTTAGAAGACAGAATGAAGCAGATCTACCAATGAGAACAACACCACTGAAACCTACCGTATACATTGAACCTTGGGAGCAACTCGGCGACACAATACAGATAATGACTTCAGTCAATAACTCACCACCGGAGATAAGTCCAATTACCTTCAAAACGATGAACTACTCTTAGTATGATAGAGGAAATCTATCCCGGATAGTGGTAAATTTATGCTTGCACAGATAGATCAGCAACCGGTTCATTTAAACATTGCGCTGCAGGCATCTTAATCACATACCCAGACAACCACACTCACACAAGGAACATACCCACTGGTAAATTCTGTTCTAACGAAACAGCAGAGATCCTGGCACTAGAGCAGGCTACCGAAATGTCACACAATCCAGTTCTGACTACTTCCACCAAGTGGTCATCTTCACAGAAGCGCTAACGGTGCCCCAAATACGCGGGAGGGACAAAACTCCCTTCCCTGATTTCTGAACACAGCAAGATGGCTGCTCAAATGTTTACTGTTCTCCAGTTGGTGCCATCCCACTGTGGTATATCAGGAAACAAAA